CACAAACCAAGATTGCAATGTAAATGTGGAAGATAAAGAGTAAGGTAGAGATATACAAACTCCCGTCGACGACTCTGGTATTTTTACCGAGGTATCAAGAAGCGCGCAAGCTTCCCCTAGTCCTCATTGGAGCCCCTCGCAAGGAATCCCTCGCAAGGGCCAAGCTCCTAGTCGGGTAACTCCGTGGATAGCTCTGGGCCTTCCCCACGCAAGTGGGTCTCCGGTGTGCCTTCCGGCAAGCCTCTCCTGACCGCTCTCCGCCGTCTTCACTATCAAGCTTCCGGCCAAATCACCGCGGGTCTTATTCCCTTTGGTACATGGTGGCGGCCACACCACAAACGCAGTTGGTGTGATCTCATAAGGCTATAAGCCCCTCCGATGTACAACGATGGTGCGCGCAAGCACCGAGTGGTAAGAGGTGTGCAAACCTCATTAAACACTAGGCCTAAACCTAGAGCAAGCGCATAAACAGTGGTCTAATCAATCTAAGCACTTCGCAAAGCACCTACGCTAATCCCCTAATGAATCACTAAGCACTATGCAAGTGGAGATCACTAAAATAGTGTATCAACACCCTTGGTATGTTTCCTCAACTCTCCACTCCTCAAATGGCATGTTGGGGGTCTATTTATAGCCCCACATATGAGAACTAGCCGTTGGACCCGAGACCCAACTTTCTGCTAGTGACCGGATGCTGATGACGTCCCGATCGGACACGTCCGGTCCTGCCGACCGTTGGAGTGCGCACGTTGATCAGACTCTGGGCCGAGTCCGGTCTCACTCGATCGGATGCGACCGGTCACGCTAGCGCCGCTCTGGAGCCTTTCTGACATGATCGGACGCTACTTCTTGGTGCGTCCGGTCATCCTACCGTCGCGTCCGGTCATGCTGAGAACGTTGCCGTTGACGATGAACAGTGAAGTCGTGTGTTCGGTCACTGCCTCACTCAGTGTCCGGTCGCTGCTGCTGACGCCTACTGTTGTCGAGCAACTGATCGGATGCGTCCGGTCCTCGTAGGGTCATGTCCGATCACCTCTACCAAGCTCATTTCTTCATGATCTTGCGTTTGGCTTGATTCCCATCTTCATGCTTGGACTTTGCTTGATATCTTGGATCCTCTCTTGTGCTTCTAGGGTCTTGCTTAAGGTGTTGATCATCGGATCATCATGTCGCCTTCGTCCAAGTCACGTTTGCACCCTATTGAACTATAAAATAATTACTTGTAAATTTATTAGTTCAATTTGGTTGTGTTGGTCATCAAACACCAAAATCCAAAGTAAATGGGCCTAGGGTCCATTTTCCTTATATGTGGAAGTCGGCAAGCACAAAAGATTCCATGGAAACTGCCACACTAAAGATGTTGATTGCAGCTGATGAACTCAAAGGTGCTACGAAGGAGTATGTGTGCATGTTGACTACTGCAATGGTTGCTTAAAGAGTTGAGTTGAGGAGATATGTTGCTGCTAAGAACAAGAATTCAATATAGTTTCTAGGTGGTTGATTAACTTTTTGTGTAGGCTTAGGATTTGCCATACTCTTTTTGTTGTGTTATTGTTGTTGCTAAAGTAATTAACTAGATGAGCTATGTGTTGTAATGTGAGGAAAATAGATGAAAATGTTGTTTCAAGCAATCCACTTTATTCTGAATAGCACAATCCCTATAAATAATAGGCACGAACATTATGTGTACATATCATTACAAGTTGAGTACCATCCATAACATATTATTGTTGAGTTCACAAACTGAGTACCTTTCATACATTACCAAGTTTCAAAAATAGATAGATACCATTCAAACATTACCATGTTCTCAAACTAATGACCACAATAACAAGAAAGTTTTGGAACCATAGTACTACATGTCCATAAAACTGACATGGCACCAACTGACAAAAATGAAACTTATGCACCAAACTACCGATGTTCAACTACTACTTCCTCTTCTCTATCCACCACTGCTTCCTCTTCGGTAGGACATTCTGCCAAGCTGTTCATCATGGTCCTCTAGTTCCTAGTCAATGGTCTTGGGCTACTTATCACTTGAGCCGTGTCAATGCTCCTACTAGGTGAATCCTTGCAAAACTAAGCATTAGATCATACAAGAGCATCTAGCCCTTTAGTGGGTTTTGGTGGATTGAATCAACATGATTAAAGATCTAACAAGTTCGCTAAGTGTTGAACATGGATTTAATTAGATTCCATATACTTGGAGACCTGATTTGTTGTATGATTTGAAGTGTATCAAATTAAAGGTTCAACAAGAAGGAAAACTTGATGGTATTCCATATTGTGTTGAAATGAAAGCCAAAATGATGTATTGTTGTGGAAACAATCTAGTTCAAGTAGAAGATAACAATGCAAATGGAATTGATGAAATGATTTATATATTGATGGCGGGGAAACGGGCAGCGATGACCCACCTCCGTGTCAGTAGAGACAAATTTGGTATGCCAAAATTGGTGTCAACATATATTATGGGATATCATTGCATCACATGAAGGCAAACATATTTGTGAATGATAAATGAGACATAAGGTTGTGCATATAGAATGGTCTCACTTTGATAGCTTGCTTTGGAAATCAAAGAAGATGAAGATGGATTTCATGAAATGGATTTCATTGTATGCTTATTGAGTTATTGTTGATTCAAATCACCATGTGTCTTGGGGTATCGCGCTTGAGAGGATGAATATAGCAAGGAAAGGGCTTCGAAGGACCAAGCAAGGACGAAGGGCGAGTGACAGCTTGGGAGCCGATGGACCACAACTATGGTGAAGAAGAGAGTATTTGCATTGAGTCTTTGCACCAATCAAGCTATGGGGAATCACATTGTTATTATGACATAATTAAGCGTAGCAAACACTGCAAACTTTGCTATTGCCATTCTAGGCGAGCATTGAGGTAACACTTCAAATCTTGGAAATGAGAGGCGGGAAAGGGAAATATATGTTGGGATATAACTAATCCAATGTTTAGTTTGAGGGTTTGATAAAAGAATAGAATTTGGAATGGGAAAATGATCGGCTCATTTTGTGCCAGTATTATTCCAACGGGGAGGCTAGGTTATGGTAGGAATAGGATGTTATTATGACATAAAATTACAAAACTACCCCTGTGTAATAAGAAAGCTTGCATATAAGAAAGGGCTATTTTAGTCAATTGCATGTGTATCCCACATCAAGCACTATCCCAAACCCGGATCCAAACCTAGAAAATGATAAGATTCCATTTCTTAAACCATAATAACCCGCATCTCATATCCAAAGGTTCTACTATGGCTGTGTTTTTTTTTTAGAATATGGCTGTGTACGGTTGGTTGCAGAGGCCCGAATTTTTTCATTTATATATCCAAGGTTCTAGGTTCGTAACCCCTTCTCCCATTCCAAATCTACGTCCAAACGGCACCAGAGCTTCAAGAAACCCAAGGCCCAAATACGGTGCTCTCAAAGGGCACGTACACAGCACTACAACCAAAGCCGGGCCCAGTGAGAATGACAGAAAAGCCCATTTAGTTGTGTTTCCAGAAAAAAAAAAACAAACAAACCAACGAGACAGCTGCGGCTGCGGCTGCGGCGCCTCGTCGGCGGGGCCGCCGTCAGCTGCTTCACAACGGCGGAGGGTAGATGTAGCTCAGTGGAGCCGGAGAGCGTGGTGTACGTGTACCCAGGGGACTGGGTGTACCGCATCCGCATGTCAATGCTGCGGTGTCTTTCTTCCATCAGGAAGAAGGGGCTCACCTGGAACTTTTGATTGCCTCATCGGTGGCCTCGTCACAGGGCGTACACCTTCCTCTCCGTCACCCCCTCGTCGCCCGCGCCTTCTTCGTCTTCGAGCTCGTCCTACCTAACGTTGAGTCCCTCGCTCCCGGTTCCCCAGCCAATCCTCAATAATCCTCATGTTATTTCCTCCCCCGCTTGCTGCAGAGGTTGTTTTCTCGTCTCTTAGAAATTGGGTGGATTCTCACGTGGATTTCCGATTTTGCTTTGCAATATGTTGTTCCCGTATTCGATAAAAGACGTCAGGTTCGATTGCGTGCTCTGGCGCAAGTAGGAAGATCCAGATATGGTTTAATCACTATGTAGAGTCAATATGCTTCGATTAAAACATTAATCCCTTCCTTTTGTCCTGGTGGAATAGAAGAAATAAGTTAATTACATATTTTTATATTGTGTATAAAACAAAGGGCATACAAGCACAAGACAATTGAGAACAGTTCTAACAAAATCAATAGGAACTTTCTGTGATGCCATTTACTCCATTTTGGTAAGTGGTAACAACCTGGTTCAGTGGAGCAAACATTTAGCTGAAGGTCTGCCATGTTGGTATAAAGTAACTTGGTGCATCGTGAATAGCTTGGGGCATTTTGCACCAAACAAAGTCGACGTCATACTTCCAAATTGTTATGCAGCTAAGTTTGGAAGCCTTATGTTTGACTAAGGCTAATAAATCTTCTCATGCTTAGTGTGCAAAAATCAACTTGTATTGTTTATTTTAAAAATTGGCTTTAATGGAATGCTATGAATGTTACTGAACAAAAGTGTTGGGCTACCTTGAAATAAGAAAAGCCAATCTACCATTCAAATACAGAATGCATCCATCAGGCAAAGAAAGCACTATTTGCCAGAAAACAGATTGTAAGAAGCAACTCATTTTCATGACACCTAGGAACAAATCAGGAGCACTTGCTCCACACACTATTCACACCACGGTGAACAACTAACGCGTGCAGGGCGTCCACATGTCATGCGCATGTGATGTGACTCAACTAAAAGAAACGGAGTCAGGTAAGTGGTAACTAACTAACTGACTACAGATCAATGTGCATGCTTTGGCTGACACATTTCAATAGGGGCGGGGAACTTCAGAGTGTAGTTTAAACTTCAAACTAGATAACAGGGCATCTACGAACTTACTTGAGCACTTCATAATACATTCTTTTGTACTCTAAAATACTGAGCTGAGCAAACTAACAAAATATATAACACAATCATAACTATGTTTTACATCTTGTCCACACAGTCAAAGATTGCTATCCTCCAAGGCTTACAGAAACCTAGAACTCCAAGCCAAAGCCATATTCCGAAGATAAACCCAGCAGCTACCCAATAGTGTAACCATAATTCGCCAAGATCTTTGTGATATCCCTTCTCATCAAACGATGGTACTGAGCTTGAATCACTTGGACAAGCTATGCTCAAAGGAAAGCCACACAGCCCAGAATTATTAACATAAATAGAAGGGTCATCGAGTGTCTGGAGTTGATTTCCTTTGGGAATCTCACCTGATAGATGGTTGCTGGAGAGATTCAAAGAACTAAGAGACATCAAGTTTGCGATGCTTGATGGGATAGTGCCTGTTAGTTGATTCCATGAAAAGTCGAGAGATTCTAGGAACTTCAAGTCACCAATATCTTTTGGAATACTGCCAGATAGATGATTCCATGACAGATTTATGAACTTGAGGCTGTGTAAATTTGATCTCTCTGTCGGTATTTCACCAGTGAGGAAGTTGCTCGATAGGTCCATTTCTGTAATCAGAGAAACTGTTCTCTGAAATACCTCATAATAATGACCCTTCCAGTTTACATCAATTTGTCCAAAATACTGATATTGAAATATGATAGACTGTTTCATATTTTGTTGCCTCATGGATTTCAAGTTGGCAAACTCAGTTGGTATAGAACCAGTGAGGTTGTTGTCAGCTAAGTCAAGAAGCTGGAGATAAGCAAGTTGTGATAACTTCCTTGGAATATTCCCATAAAACATATTTGACCTTAATTGAATAATCCTTAGCCATGGATTTTTCACACCTAACCATGAAGGAATTATGCTGTCATATCTATTTCCCTCAAGGTCGAGTGTGGCTAGGTTCTCACATTTCTGTATGACAGACGGAAACTCTCCATGAAAATTGTTTTTTGCCAGGTTCAGCCATTCAAGAGAAAAGATATGGTTCCTTGCAGTTGGAAGTTTGCCAAAAAGGCATTTCTTGACAGATCCATAAATTTTAGGTGTTGCAAGTTCCACCAGCAGCTGGGAACTTCTCCAGAGAGATTATTATTTGATAGGTCGAGAATCAGAAGAGAAGTATATGAGCAGAAAGTTGGAGGAAGTGTTCCATTAAAATGATTATCAGAGACATCGACAACAGTTAGGCTGGAATGGACTCCAAATACATGCGATATGTTGCCAGAAAGGTGGTTTTGCCCCAGCCTAAGGTATATCAAATTTGAACAGTTTTTTATGCATGATGGCAATTTGCCTGACAAGCTATTGTTGTTAAGAATCAGCGTTTCTAATGCAAAGGATCTGCACAGGCCATGTGGCAGTTCTCCAAAGAAGCTATTATTGGCTAACCCAATGAGACGGAGTGGCTGCCAGCGGCCAAGGTTTAGAGGTATGGTACCCGTGAATTTGTTGGTGCCCAGTGCAAGATGGTTGAGATTCCGGAGGAATGAGATGGTTGCTGGTATCTCACCTTTCAGTTGGTTGTTCCTGAGATCAAGCTGTTTCAGTGCAGTCATGTTTCCAATCTCCGGTGGTATTTCCCCGTTGAGGTTGTTGTTGTAAAGATACAATCCTTCAGGCCTAGTTTGGAAGCTAGGGCCAGATTAGCCCGGGGTACAGACGCCCGGAGGGGGATTTTAGCGGCCATTCGATTCCCAGGGCGTCGCACCCCTGTCCCCTGTCTGCGTTTGGAACAGTGATGCAAGCGGGGGTGGGGCGGCCTGCGGCAGTGTCCTGCTGACTGCCAGGCTTTGTGGTTAACAACCAAGCAGGTTGCGGACACCTGCGGTAGTTTTCATTTTTCAAAGGCAAACAGAACAGTGACTAGCCGAAACTTGCAACGCAATACAAAACACCTAGAACTATGCCTACATGTCAAAAAAATATCCCAAAACTTGTACAAAAATCCTAACAAAAATAAAAGCAAGTATTTGAGGAATATTTTGCAGAAGATAGATCAGCCTACATTACAATCTCATAGCAAAACTATTAATGCATCTGATATTAGTTCTGTCACTTCCAAAAGATAAGTACTGTCTCAATCCAAGACACTGAAGACATTGTTTGGACAGTTAGGGCCAGGTTGCTTATATGTACAACAGTCATTCGAGGTACTCGCTTGACACCAACTAAAGGTCTCTGTGTCCACCACATAATTGGTCATCGACATAGTTGCAGAAGTCCTTCCTACAAGAAAGCAATGTTATTGTGAATAAAAGTCGATGATAAGAAGCCTAATTATCCTTAATCACCTGTTGCCACAACAACATCCTAGCAGAGATCATAAAACAACATAATATGACACTTTGTTTTTTCAGGAAAGCCCCATTATCCAGACTCCGCAGCAAAATCTTGAGCTTAATGGATCACTGACTTGAGTGCCGGAAGACATTACTGGAGGCATCACAATACCCCTGTAACACCAATTTATTAGCGCGTCTCTTAGGTTAACTAATTCAGGAGACTGAAACCGTTAATAATATGTGCACTAACTCCATTGTTGGGAAAAAAAAGAACCCCATGGAGATACTATGCCAGCAACCTAATTTGAAGGAATATCTTTCTCCTTACTAGCTGCACTCAAAGATCTAAACTGAAGCACTCTAATCCTAGCTAAAACAGGCATGGTCTGGTTCTCATCTAATGTTATATTCACACATGTAAATAAGATAATAATGTATCTGAAACTGAACCTAATTCGGAATACTCAACAGTCTAGATGTGACTGAAGCCTACATGTTTTTCTATGATCTACATGTTTTTCTATGATCTATGATAATTAATACTAACTTTATCAAATTCCCATGTGTGCGCAACTAGAATCATGTTTACACTTGACATGTGCTCCAACCTTGCTAATGCAAGATCTCATTCCGCTTGTTGATGTGACTGCAAAGGTTGTAAAAGAGCACGATGCGTGGTGAACAAAAATCAAAGCATCAATCTCTATGCAAGACAAGACTTGGATGATGCCTCGCGCTATCCAAAATCAGGGATTAAGATTGCCAATCAAATTACTGGATATCTTCTCCATGCAATCTACGACTCTACAGATTTAAAGCTCTACACTATGGCAAACCCAATCAGAATAGAGCTTTTAGTTCTACACATCTACATTTTTCAGAAGACTAATCATCAAGAGATTGCAGAGGTATGTGTCTCTTGCCAATTTATCCATCCTAGAAATATAACTACCAATCCATTCAGATTCACAAGAGGTGAATTTCCTTACCAACCCTAGAACCCAATCAGAAAGAGGGGTCCCTTACCAACAAAAGAAGACGACAATCCAATCCCAGATGGATCTCCACTCTGGTCCAACTTGTCACGAGAGGAAGAGAGGTGGAGTTGCTGCACAAAAATGCACAAGATTGTATGATGTTGCGGCACAAGAATTGTCACAAGGAAAGTGACAATTACTGCATTTGTTTGAAAAAAAAAAGAGAAGCTGAAGCTTGCAGTAAATTAAGTAATCTATGAGAACTTCAGTATATCTTCTTGTATAATTAGAAACAGCCTGAGGATATTTTTTTTTTTTTTGCCCAAACGATGACTAGAAACAAGAAACACGCAATCTAAATAACTTGCAAAAGTTCATGCCTTGGCTAGAAACATAAACACAAGAAGCCAATGGAGCACACCTGCACACGACACAAGGCTAGTGAACCTGTGAATAAACAATCTAACGAACCTTTCATCAACTGGGATGGGAGATCACAGATCATGACAACAATCACTATTTCCAGGGTAATGACCTTTATTGCAGAATTAACTCAAACACTATGGAAGTTCCAGGCCTCAGCATGAGCTGCATCTATCACGTCAGAGAGAAGGTACCAGTAGTGCGAGGCATGCTTACCAATTCACCGCCCGCTTGCCTACGCCTCAGCAATGTCAGGTGAAATTATCACTTGACTGGGTCTTGGGATGAAGGTCTTCGTCAAGATCTGCAAGAATCAAGAGGCCTAGAAAACTTAGGCAATAGGAGAAGGGGCAGGAGAGAAGGATGAAAGCAGTCAACTTGGTGAAAAACAATCACATTTGAAATCTGCGGACAAGCCGGACAGGAATATCTAGGGAAACGAACCAATTCGAATTATATCGAACACGGTGGATCACGAAAATTCAATACGAAATACCGACCCACGAGCATAGCATTAAACAAGTGCGTCGTTCACAACTAACAAATGCATGATCTAGTTCACGTACATAGTATTAAACAAGTGCGACCAAATACATAATAAGAGAGATGATGAGCAGCTAGCCACCAAGAGAAAAACGTGGTGAGTGCCAGACGGGAGGTTTTGAATTCCAAATTAAAAGTAGAAAAGTAGAAAACGATGCTTTTACATTTGAAATACGAAAACATCTCAAATACGAAAACGAAAATGGTAAAGTCGGACAAAAAAATGCGGATTCGATCGGATTAAATATAGAAAACGATACGGTTCGGTTTGGAATATTTCCGTTCCGCTTTCATCCTTAAGCGAGTCAATCACAATGGATGCGAGAAGGGGGAGGTGGAGGCGCCGTCGTGGCGTTGCACCGCGCGATGGCGGGCGTGGTAGTGCGGAAGAAGAGGTGGACCAGCGATGCGAGACAATGGAGCGACAGATCGGTGTGAGACGACCGGAGGAGGGGGGTGTCATTCACTGCACCGCGACAGCGGAAGGCGGCGGTCGACGGTGGTGGCGCGAGATTCACTCATGAGGACGAGGCCGAGACGGAAGCTGCGCCCCGGACCCTCGTGGTGGGAGAGAGCCGCCCCGGGGAAAACTCGTGGGTCGGGGTCGGGCATGCCTCGCCGTGGACTTCCAAACGGTGGGGAAATCTAGCCCGGGGACGAATTCCGCGCGGTGCTCCAGCCCGGGGAAAAGGCGGGGATGCCCCCGTGGATTTGCCGTTCCAAACGAGCCCTCAAGGTGTTTCATTTTTCCAATCGACATGGGAAGTGGTCCAGTAAAAAGATCATATGACAGACCAAGGAACTGTAAGCTTGTTAAGTTACCAATGCCCATCGGAATCAACCCACTGAGTGTGTTATTCGTCAATGAGAGGACCTGTAACGTGGAGAATGTGGTAAGCGTCTCCGGGAATCCTCCACTGAAGACATTGGATTCGAGTTGCAGTTCTTGGAGCTTTGTTAGCGGCGTAAGCAATCTTGGTATTGTCCCTGAAAAGTGAAAACCCATTCCAGGACAAGTTCAGATACTGATACACCAAATTGGGGATCATCTTTGCCAGTGACTCTGGTATTTGTCCATGAAAAAAGCAATTCCTTGACAGGTCAAGAAACATCAAGTTGGTACAGAGATTGTGGATGGCACCTGCTAGGCTGTTGTTGTTGAGGTTTTGGTGAGGTTTGGAAACACAGCGAAGTTGAAGGCATCGAGCTGGCCCCTAAGCCCAGCACTTGGAAGGCTAAGCTCAACGACATGGGCTGTGGCGTCACAGGTGACTCCCAGCCATGAACAGTAGGTAGAGTTGCCCTCTGAAGACAGAGAATTTGCATCGGCTAAGTAGGCTTTCCATTTCAGGAGTGCTACCTTCCTGTAGGCTCCTCCGCTCCTGTTGGCGTTGGCCTTGCAAATCAGAAGAAAATTGGTGGCATAGAAGAGAATGGTGGTCGGCACCATTTCTTTGAGTTTCAGTTGAGAGACTTGAGAGTTGAGACTGCATAGGCGCAGCTCGCAGATCGTGAAGGGATCAGTTTTGAAATGCCACGGCCCGCGGGCCACGGGCACCTCTCCTACCTGTCATCAGTGGCTTAGATATAAATGCAGCTCCGAATATTTTTTTTTCCTTTTTCGAATTTGAAGACAATAAAAAAGAAAAGAGTTTCTTTTCTTTTCACGACCCTGCGAAGCATGGTTTTTATTAATAAATAAGAGAGGAAAAAGAAGAAAAGAGTTTATCGTAGACGTATATGTATGTGCCATAACTGATGCAAAATCATCATTGCCAGCTTTAGTTTTCCTTTTGCCAACGGCAAAGGACTCGAGACGACTGATCGAGATGATCCTGTCGGTACCACACTTACTTTTGAAAAAGCAAATGATGCGAGACTTGGACTTACCTAATTGGGTGCTTTGACTTGAATATTTATGCACCGGTAAATGTAATACACCTGTATTTTGTTGTGCACAAAAAGAAAACCTTGGAATGCATATGATGTTTATAATTCTGGAAAAGAGTAAAATTTACCAGCGCTCTTCAAAGTTGTCTGGAGATGTCATTTAGGTCACTAAATACATGTAGATCCCTAAAGTTCGAAAATACATTTTGGCTCCCTAAAACTGTAACGGGTCTCATCCACCCGACCCACTATCCTACGTGGTACGGAACTAACAGATGGTATTCACGTGTCATTGACAACACTCCACTTTAGAAAAATCATATATTTTCATAATAACTTGGATGAAGATAGTTTTTATATGAAAAAAAATGTAGTTCTTGATGAGATCTACAACTATCTAGTTTTCAGTTTTTTCATTTGAGATCGTTAAGACCCTAAAAA